AAATGAGAGCCTTAGCATCCACCTTTTTCTACCTCTTTTATTTCTAATGATAATAAATACAAACACAATATATTATTTTTGAGATACATTTTAATAAATTAACAATTATTTTATAGAATTGCAATGTTTTACTACATGTTAATATTGTTAACATGGACCTGCAAAATGCTGATTTTATTTCTCATAGCATATGGCAAAAGCCCACATTCCACTAATAGTAATGAAGTAAATTACTTGTGTATGCAATGTAAGTAACTTTGAGCGCTATCCCACCACATGGGACAAAGGTCATTAAAGCTATTATACTCTTGTAGGAAAAACGGGGTTCCATATCTACTAATGAAACTTGCAGTCATTGTCTTATCTATTATTGCCTTCGAAAGGAAACAGAGAATTAGATATTATAAATAAAATTCACTGAGAATAAATAATTCCTAAATACTAAAAATTAGGTGGATAAATGACCTTTAAACTATAGTTTCATATTCAAGAACCAACTGTACATGTACTATACAACTATACAATCAACAATACATGTTCTCCTCAGGTGGATAGTGAACTGTATAATGCCATTTCAATCTCAAATAAAAAATGCTTCATTATTTTTTCCATATACTAACAAAAAGGAAGTTGTATAAATTAACTAATCTAATTTCTCAGAGATTTTAAACATGAGAAAGGTATCAAATATTACAAAAAGAAATTACACATACATTAATAGATTACTAAAGTACAATGTGCTAGCATTCTAAAATATAAAATCCTAATGTAAATCAAAACAATTTCCTTTGTAGATGAAAATAAGTTGCAAAATGTACAATTATATCGAACCTATTCAGTAACAATGTAACTATTGGGTTGTCAGAAAAGTCATGACGCATTTTTGCAACGAAAAACAGAAAAAATATGTCATGACTTTTCTGACAACCCAATGTAATAAATATACTTTGCTTCACATACTGGCTCACTAGAATATCAGTTTATATGCAGGCAGTGTGCTAATTGCTAAGTGCAGAAATGATAAATATATATCCCTATTCCTATGAGCTTCCAATTAAATGAAGAAGACAGACATGTAAAGAAATATTTACACCACAATGTGATACTCAGAGAAATGTACTACTCTTGAGTTATTCCAGCAACCTTGTTACTCTTGGAACCAAAAGCATAATTTGCTGAGCTAGTTAGAAAGTTATGGCTGGGAATGTTGTCAAAGTTAATAAAATGAATAAAGCTTCCTGACCCGTAGAGTTATTTAATACTGGCATTGTTTTATGGAAATATACTCTGTCCAACTGGACTAATAGCAGAGATGAATCTCCAAACTTAGACTGTTATTACCATAAATCTGGTGTTTACTGACGTGAGCAAATTGTCCTTTCATTAACTATCCAGGATGTGACTGCTTTGGTTTCTATTTTTTTGTATAATTTTTTAGTCTTTTTTAGAAGTGTTTTTAAAGTTCTGAAAATCATATCCAATGACAAATGCTTTAAAGACTTTCTAAAATTTGGCTTTAGAATTCCTTTCCCAGAAAATATGTGTTTGTGATTGTGTGGATGGAGGTAGGAGATACAGCAAGGCTCTAGCCAAAATTGGATTTGCAGGAGCTAGAGAGCTGGTTAAGAGAATGAGTTTCTTGAATTATCACGAGGCCCTGCAGTGCTGATCAGGTGCAACCCACTAAAAAGGTGACAGAGCTAAAATAGAGGCAATTATACAAGGAGAAATATGTAACTCTGGCCATTATGGCAGGTTTTACAGTGTTAACCATTTAAAGAAGGAAAATGAGGCCTTGAAATGGGAGACATACTATTGTTTCAAATACTTGTGGAGAGAGCAGCCTAGGACCAAGGGCTGGAAGTTATTACAGGAAGGCAGAATTGCTTTTACTGTTAGGAAGAACTTTCTAATAGAACTGTTAAAAAATGGAGGTAGTAAGCTTCTTACCCCTGAAAGCACTGAATTAGAAATTGAAAAAAAAACCATCTGTCAAGGGTGTTTTAGAATTGAGAGGCTTTCTATACCAGGTTGAAAGCTATATTAGATTCTAAGGTTATTTTCAAGTTTTAATATGAGTCTGATTCAGAAGTTACCTTTTGATAAGTGTGTAATAGTATCATCCTGATTAAATTCCCTATTTAGATATTAAATTTGATTTAGCATGTCATCAAATATAATTTACTTATAAATACATGTAGATTTTTAAGATCTATTCTTTCAAACCACACAATCTTTAACTAAAATCACTACCTTTAGCTATATATGAGGTCTTACAATTAAGTTCGCAAACTTGTTGCAACAATGTTGCTAACCTTTTTGGTATCAGAGGGATTATTTGTTATGAATTTGTACTAACTGGACAAATAGTTAACCAAGTTTACTATTTGGAAGTGCTGAAAAGGCTGCATGAAAAAGTTAGATGACCTGAACATTTCACCAACAATTCATGGCTCTTGCATTATGACAATGCACCAACTCACACGGCACTGACAGTGAGGGAGTTTTTAGCCAGTAAACAAATAACTGTGTTGAAACGCCCTCCCTACTCACATGATCTGGCCCCAAATGACTTCTTTACCCCAAGATAAAGGAAATGTTGAAAGGAAGACATTTTGATGAGATTCAGGGCATCAAGGGTAATATGATGACAGCTCTGATGGCCGTTCCAGAAAGAGTTCCATGGTTGCTTGGAATGGTGGACTGGGCGCTGGCATTGGTGCATAGCTTTCCAAGGGGGAGTACTTTGAATGTGACTGTAGTGATCAAGGAGGTATGTAGCACTTTTTCTAGGATGAGTTCGTGAACTTAATTGTCAGAACTCGTAGCTCCATTTGCAGTGAAATAAGAACAATTCAGGAGAAAACTTTAGGTACTTGTCTTTCAGTTCCTATTTACTATAAAACAAATGTGTGCCTATGGTAGACAGAAAGAAAAGTCCCTATTAGCAGCTTACTATAAATGCCAGCACCATTTACAGACTTTTTCCTGAGTAATTAAAAAAGAACAAAGAACAAATTCCCTTCAATAAGAATGCTCTTGAAATGATATAGTTTTAAGGCTCAAGTCCTATTGAAATCTTGACTATGCAGAACCATTGAAATCAAGTTACGCAGAATGCCTAAAATGCTAAACAAATTGGAGGAGGAAGTAATTAGTCATGTCAGAAAACTATTAAGATAAAAATATATAAATAGAATGTAGAAATCTTTGGTTGTCATTCCTCTGTAAGAATTTATTGGGTTAATCATCTACCACATGCCACAGTCTTTGATAACCTGTCTTATTCTAAATATGGCTTTATAAAGTGGAATAAAGTTATTTCTTACGTTGAACAGAAATAGTCCCTATAAATTCCAGCCTTTGTTTTAAAGCTGTCCTCCAGAGCTGCCTATTGGAAGACACTCTTGAGTCTTACACATTCAATTCTAAATATAAGAGATTCCAGACACTGGATCCAATTTAACTTAGAATGATGATCTAAAGGTAACACTATATATTCAACAATATATTTAATCATTACATTGTATTTATTGCTCCCAAATCTCAAAATGCAAACAGATGCTCTCCTCTATACTTGATTTTGATTTTAAAATTATATACATTGAGCTAGGTACACTGGACCCATATTTAATTGCTCTTCTTGTTATCTGGGAAAAATGGAATCATGTTGCAGGATGTGGTCGCTCTCAATATTCTAGGTTTCAAGGGTAGCATGTAAAGATGCTGTGATGAAGACCTCTTTTCCTCCCCAAACCAGAGTTGAGGTTATGAGAATGCAGTTAATTTTGATTATGCAAATATTCTACATACTGCTCAGTCACACAGGCAGTAGATGAACAAAAAGTGCTCCATATTTTAAATGAAGTTTGAAGATTGCTCTAAGAATGTCCATTAACTTTGAATTGATCTCATATAAATGTTGAATTTAATCTTTTTATATTTAATAATGCCATATACCTACTTTCAATTTTAGAAGACATTACAATATTATAATTTTTTTATGTGCATAATCCAAATGTAGTGGAGCAAGACAACTGATAAAAGATTAGAAATGTTAAACAGAATTTTTCCACAAGAATGAAAGCAATTTGGATAATGAGCACAATCATTTTATCTTACACTGTGGCATTGGCTAAAGGACAATAATGAAAGGAAAGCAGATTTTAAAGAAAAAAAGACTAAGGGAAGGGCCATTGGTAAAGGGATGGTATTATTTCCTCTTACCTAACCATACAGACAGGAAAAACAGCTCCTCTGACTTGCATGTCAGAGATCCAGAATGGAGGGTGGGGCCAGAATGATAGTGATTCTTGGAGAGTGAAGCCACAGTGATCCACAAGATCAGAAAGATATAGCTAGTTCAGTCATTGACAGTTTGTGTGTGTGGCTGGGTTCTTGTGGCTTTTGATCCAGGACAGATGGATCAAATGAAAGTTCTACCTTTATAAGAAGATGCAAAATTGGAGGGAACAGAGCCAAGCCTGGCACAGATTGCTATTGTGCCAACAAAAAAGAATAGTAAATAAAGGAGAAGTTGGGGGATTTCTGACTACACTACTTTTATTGCAGTTATAACTGATGAAGAGAACTCAGATGCAGATGTAAAGGGATGTCAATAAGGGAAAGTAATTAAAAGTAACTGCAACAATTGTAGAAACTAAGACAGAAAATCTTGTGCATTAGAAAGTAAATTAAGTCAAATGCAGAGAGAGACAGTTAGGCCTTGATAACAAGGATATTTCCAGATCATTACCATAAATCAATGGCCAGTGAAAAGAATGGTGGAAATCAAGATGATACAATAATGAAACAAGATCAGGAAGGGATTCCATTTTGCTTTAGTTTCTCCTTTCTGAAAGAGATGAGTTCCTAGAGTCAGTGATTAAAACAATTATTTATTTTAAGCATATTTTAATTATTTATATCTGCTTAAGAGTTCAGTAAATCCACATATATATAGGTCACCCACTGTGTTATGGTCTTGTTTTTAAAGCCACACACACACACACACACACACACACACACACACACACACACACACACACACAAAAGGGCAGAGACAACTAAGGTAGGGAAAGAGGAAGGCCACCAATTCTACAGAACATTTTTTATGCAACTGTCATCTGATTAGGGACAGTCCCTGATTTTGGAATCGCATAATGAAGTCTAATATGCTGTTCTATTTTGAAAAATATATTTGAAACTTATGATTGCATACATTTATTTATATGGTAAAAGAACTTTCACTGAGGTATATTTCCACTTTGGAAAGTACTTTAAAAGAATATGCACATTTACAACAAATGAACATTTACTAGAGTGTGGGAAACTACATTTGATTCCAGAGAAATCCAGAGAAATCCAATCTACACATTACCTGAGTTGTAAATCAGGGTTTTTAAAACCTAAAATGCTTATATCTTTTGAACTGATTAAATAAAGCATATCCTTTTGCAAAGCAGAATCATCCTAGCTGAGAACAGGATGATTGATACTCTTCCATTGTTTATGTTAAAGATGATTAAACGGATGTAGGTTGTGAATACTACCAGAAGCCCAGTCATTTGTTTTAAATTTAGAAAATAATTCACTATGAATAATTTACTAAAGCAGTAAACCAACATGGTCCTTTACAGTTGATATGTATCATCACAGGGAACTGATATGGTACTAATTTAAAGCTGAAATTCCTTACTGCAACCCAGTGTGGACATTTGAAAGAGTAAGAAATGCAACGATAATGATTCACTTATCTAATGGTCAGGTTTTCTACATCCTCAATTATGCTGGAACTTGGCAATGATACAGAAAAAGTATTTTAGCACTTCCATCCCAGAAATCCAAGAACTTCACTCAATGGATTACATGTTAACATAAAATCGGGTCAGGTGTAACTTAGAACTAATAATTAAATCAATAATGTTAATTTACCAAGCTTGAGCCAGAAAATAAGGAGATACAATGATACTGCCAGAAATTGAAACCAACAAACACTGAGAACTAATAGAATCAGCAATTTTAAAAGCATTTCAGTAACTGATGTCATTATGGAATCATAACATGGTACATTACACTCTTAATGAAGAGTTGAATCATAAAAAGAGTTAAGCCATGTTTAGTGTAGCAGGCTGGGGAATTACACTGAATTTTAGAACATTTTCTGACCAAACAATGGTGAAAAAAATGGATTTAAAAGAAGTTGAACAATCAGAAAGGATAGGAATTCAACAACTCTACCTCTACTAATAAGATAGGATTATCACCTCTTTCTAATTTATTTTTCACTTCATACAGAATGTAAGTAATTCATTTTTACTACCTAAAGAGATTTCCCCCATCTAAATAGTACAAATCTGTGAACTTTGTACTTGTTTTTACTGTCTTTCATGGATAAAGTACTTTAAAAATTAAAACATCAAAGCCTATGAGTTTTATTTACATATGAAAATACTAAGTATCCTGGATTATCCAAGATTAAATTATATTCAGTATATTTTTGGTAAAATGTATTTTGTATTTAAGTTTCTTGGAACTGCTAATTCATAACAGTGTACATTCATAGTACCGGTCATTCTCTAATAGAAGGTACATTTTATTTTACTAAGATGTAAAGACCTTTTTACCAACTATTAACAAATTCATTGTGGTTTCTAGAGCTCTAATAATTTTAGAATGTCTAAGCACACACTACTTTTAGAAATGATTAGAAAACCATGGGTCCCTGTATTTGTTAAACTGAATCACCTGGCAGTAGAATTCAGTTAAGGCTCTTGGCATTGGGGACACTTCTTCCCACTCAGACCTGCTGCTGTGGTAAACCTGCACCTCATCTGTGATTTCATCTGGAGCATAATCACCACCTAGTATATAAATTTTATCTTCAATTCCTACTGCACCTGCATTAAAGCCTGCACATTCAAATGACCCTTCACCCTTCCAAACACAAGTATCTGGACAAAAACTATAAACCTTATAGGTGGAAAGGTCACATATATACAGTGTGCAATTTACTGGGACAGCTTTAATTAGCGTTGCATGAAAAAACTGCCCAAACTCTGCTACTAATTCAGACCACTGATCAGTTGTAGCGTTGTATTTAAAAAAACAATCAAGTGATGGGTTAAAGGCATCTGTAATCTCTACCTCTGAGCCAAGAACATAAATTACATTTTGGCATGCGCTTGCTTCAGGATAGTATATGCCCCTGGGTAATGGGCTAACAGACATCCATTCTTTGGAAAGAGGGTTGTAAGATTCAACATCTAAGAGACTTTTAATGTCCTGAGATCCTGTAGTCTTTCCACCTATGACAAATAATCTATTGAGAGCCATAACTGACGTATGCATGGTTCTTGGTGTTTTCATAGTTGATACAAGGAAGAAATCATTTTTGACTGGACAGTAGCACCAGGTTTGATCTGTGGCATCATGATATGACTCTGCAATATGAAGTCGAACCGTTCTACAACATGACCCTTTACAACCACCTGTCAAGAATATTTTCTCTCCATAACTCGACAGACTAGATCCTGGCAAATCAATCAGGTGTGATTGTGGCAGTATTTTCCATGAATCGGTTTTAATATTATAGCAAAATGTATACTGATTTTCTCCATTTTCCTCAGTTTTGTGAACAAATATATATTTTTCGGTTGTGGATGGTCGAGCATCAGGGAAAAGTCCACCAGAACCTTGCACACACTTAATTGCATCCATGATTATGTCAAAACAGTTTGTGCTTTTGAGTAAACACTCTTCATTGAGCAGACAGTCTTGAAGTGTCTCCTCAGATAACTGATGTAATCTTACTTTTTTAATCAAATAAGGGAGATGCTTTTGCCTTGATTCTAAGTTATATTTAGTCCAACTAAGGACAACTTTCAGTACAGTTTCTTCTTCGGGAACATTTAATTCATCTGATTCCAGACATTTTTGCAGTATTCCAAAATTCATCTCTAAGAAATCACTGGATTTAAATAATAAAGAAAAGTGATGTTGTACAAAGTATAATGCATGATCAAATAAACGGGTAGAGCCATAGCTATCTGATATAGATAACAACTGTAAACAATTGACAATATTAATACTTTTTATTAAAAAGTCACTGCAAGCTTTGGATAGGAAGGAAACTTGAAGAAATGATGACAACTGGAAGAACATTTCCACATTATCATCTGTTATCTTTGTTTTTCCAGTATAGGCATAATCAAGAAATGCTTTTACTGCTTTGGAGGACAAATTAGTAATAGTAACACTTCCACCATCTCTTTCTTTCATGTTTACTTCAAACATAGCCCTGCAAAAATAAAGAACACAGAAGAACAAGTAAACAGAAATATTTTATTCTATGATAATTTTCAATATTACCTTAAAAAGGTTTCCTTTACCCTAAGGTTGATTTAAAGTATATTTCTGAAATATATTTAAAAAATATCCTAATAAATTATTTAAATATCTAGAATAGTTATGTACCATATTAGTTACTTGTAAACTATTGTGTAACTCCCATACTGTAAAATATATACTTTATAGCTGAGCTACAGCAACTAATCCAAAGAAGGCTATAAAAAGATTCAAATTTTGTATATTGATTTGATGTTCTTATATATTATTCATAAAATTAGGGTAAAATATCTCTAATGGCTGAATTTATTTATGGGTTAATTAGTATCAACTTTGTAGGTGATTTACTAACATTACTTAAAATATATAATGCTTCTGGATTTAGGATTTAAAAGTCTCTTTCAAATTAATTTTCAATTTGGCAATAGTGAGACCTATGAAAGATGGAATACAGTGAGATGTCACATGTTTCCAATGAATCTGTCTGTGTGGGGAAATCTACCAAATAAGATAAACACATCTAAAAAGACACATTTCATAAAGTATTTAGGAAAAAGGGAACGTGATTTCATAAAACTAAACAATAACAGTGTACTACACCAAACCAAAAAGGCTAGAAATAACTCTTCGTAGAAATAATGACTGAGAGATGGAGATGGGTCCACAGATTTGAATAATCAGACTAGTTTGAAAGTTCTTCTTAAGTTTTAATTTATCCCCACATGGCAAAGCTGATAGAATTTAAGCAATGGGGAACTTTTTTTGGCTCAGTTTAAGCAAAAATATAAATTATTTGGAAATGTTGGGATAGGCGACTCAGATGTATTTTACCATTGGTTTTGTTAAGAATATGTATTGCCATCCAGCCTTGTATTAACTTCATATCCAGAGTTATTCATTTTATACCTTAACCAAACCCATTATGGTGGTTGTCAGTGGAACAGCAAATAGAGAATAAGAGTAAAGTGGAAAGAGCTACAACGAAGAACGAAAGACTGCCAGTTGAACATTCATTAAGACAGAAGATCAACTGGTTTTGGTTCTGGCTTAATGCCGGTTTGTAGTTGTGCCAGTATCATCCAGGGTATCTTTGTGAGCAGCGACCCTAGGTTATGAGAGTTTATTCTAGAGGGTAACTGAAGCTATTAAAAAAGCACTAGCATCTAACTGAAAAGTATGAAGGGTGAAATAACGTATATGTAATGTATCAGGGGGCTTTCCCTTAGGAAAGGAAGCCTTCCCACTAAGCTACTCAATGCTTCTTAAAACAAAAACAAATATAGTTACAAAAATTATATACCTGTTACACATTATGTAGGGCATTTCAATAATGTTTATCAACTTAGAAATATTAACTTGTGGTTATAATTATATTAGGTTATGAAGACATCTATAGTCAGTTCAGGGTAGTATTAAGAGCGGGGCCTCTAGAACTCGGCTGCCTCTGTGGGTATCCAGCCTCTGTCACTTACTAGCTGTGTGACCTTGGGCAGGTGAATTAACTTCATTATGCTTCAAATTCTTCATCTGAAAAATGGGAATACTTGCAGTACCTATTTCACTGAGTTCTGAGAGGAATAAATGAGTTAACTGATGCAAAGTATTAGCTATTATTATTATTAAGAAAATAAATGTTTTCTATCAGATCCTATGTATTTTTAATTTATCATCAGCTTCCATATTTCCTTTGAGAAGATACATGAAATATGTTTCTATACTTCATTCTCCTCATCTTTAAAGTATCCAGTTATCTCCAATTTACCATGTTATCATAAAATGGTTATACAAATGTATAATTACTTTTCAGCTTATCTCCAAAGACTTTACATCACTATAATTTTCATTTTCCCCAAATATAAAGGGCATTTATCATGCACTGTGCACTTTTCTGCTATTTTACATTTTTCCTTTCAATACACCAGTGAGTTTGATCATCACACAAATATGATAAATTAGTGGCCTTATCATATGAGTGTTTTGTTTTTTTCTAGCTGAGCCATCCTGCCACCTGCTGGCAGCTCAGCGGCAGCTCAGCTTGGGCCAGGCGTCGAACTGCTGTTGCTCAGAGCTTGGACTGTTGAGCGAGCTCTTAACTGACTGAGCCACTCGGCTGGCCCCATGTAAGAGTGTAAATTATAGAATTTCCATCTATATTTGTACATATTTTATGTGAACTGTGTACTCAATTTAATGAAATACTATATAATAAGGGATCCAGGTCACTATAGAAACATTCCAGGTAGAAAAATTTTAATATATTATTCTGTTTTAATGGTAATTTAAAAAAATTTAAAGCAGGCCCATAAAAATCTAGGAATAGGCGGAATAAAATACTATGGACAAAAATTACATGCAGATACATTAATAAGTAACTTCAACATGAAGAGTAGGACAGCCAATTCAGATGCTTACATGCACTTATTTTGTTAACATGAAAACAGTATAGGAAAATCAAGCTGTGTGTTCATACCGGATTATTTCCATTTTTTGCTGTTTGGAAATAATAATAATGGTAGCTAACATGAACTGGATGTAGTGGGCACTGTACTAATCATTACATATACATTATTTCACTTAATGCTCATAATGACTTGATGAGTTAGGTTCTATTTTTATTATCTTAATTTTTTACAAATGAGGATACTGAGGTCTGCAGAGGTTAAGTAACTTGCCTAAGGCTACATGTGTAATAAGTGGTAGAATTTAGATTTAGGGCATGTGTATTAGGAGGCCAAGTACTTAACCATTATACTATACAGCTTCCTCTGATGAAGAGGTGACATGAAGGATAGGGAGCAGAAAAGAATTAGTTGGGAAGAAAAACTGGATTAGAATAGAGGTGGGAAGAAATTGGTGGAACCTGAGAGTGACAGAGCATAAGAACATTAGGGCCCCAATGGAGTATGAAGAAGAATAACTTAGGTTACCTGAGAGAAGAAATGAAAAAAATAGATGAAGATAACCAATTTAGGCAAACAGCTAGTAAAAGTTATATTGATATCTTAAATCTTACTCTATTTTTTATTATGTTGATTTATTAGAGATTTAAACCCTGCTTACTTTGAATAAAAATTGTTTCTAATATTGAGCATAATGCAAAATACTAAAATTGCGATTTAAATTTATTGCAGTATGACTTAAGAGGGCTGAAGTGCAGGATGTCACCAAGAGGTTTGATTCTGACCAAGAGGCCTCACAGAATGAATGGGTCATGTGTCTGAACATTAACCTTGCAGAATCAAAAACCGGATGTTAAAAGAGTGGATTCTTAGTGTCATGACTAGGAAATTCCCTGTAGGATGATCTACCTGGGGAACCAACTTATATTCACAAGGTTGCCTAGAATTAGAAAAAGCTGGGTGCTCTCCAGAAATGCTTTGGAGGTATTTCTCCCTACTATAAGAATATCTTTGCCAAGAGGAGAAATCTTGAAATCCTCTAGGTCAGAGTCCCTCTCTCCTGGATAACCCGTGTATACAATACTTGACTGAAATGCATTTTCCTCTCAGGCTCCTCAGTTTCTTTGAACTTTGCTTCCATTTTAGATCAATCTGCCCTTTCCTTTTTTCTAAATGACATGGTGCAGCGATGCTCCAAATAAAAGTGAACCCCAGATCAAAACAATTTTTCCCGCGGAACATTTCAAGGAATTAATGTTGAATGGAACTTTAGGAAATGCTGGCTTTGGGAAGACCTGAGCTTTACAAAAGCTAGTCTTAAATTTTCATACTCAAAAAAATCATTGGTTAATCTAAGTTCTAATTAGCTCTTTTTAAGAATTAAAAATTACTGTTGCATGCTCCTGTGGGGGAAAAATTAGTACAGTTTTAAAAATTAATTATCCATATTATAATAATCTGAGGCATACATAAATAAGATCAAGTACCTGAAAAAGTCGCTGCATGCTGCTAACACACACCGATGACATGGGATTATTTCATCTTTCATGATTATTTTGAAATCATAAAAGACATTTTGTTCTCTAAAATTCTGTAGTACACTCAAGATTTTCTGTCCATGATCTTCTGACACAAGGCAACTGTTTATCTTCTCAGATGGAATTCCATTACATGAGCTTCGTTGATTGAAATCATATGAATTATCCATAGCCAATTCTATCTGTTCTTAGAGCTGGAATGAAAAAAAATCACTGATTTAAGTATAGTCCTAATAAAATTTTCAGATCTAAAATTTGCCCTCTTAGTGTCAATTACACAAAAATGCTCAGTAAACAATCATAAGCTAGTAAACCTTGTTCTAAACATTTCTTTTCATGATATTTAATAATAAATTCCTATTGAATTTTCATAAATATTGTAATCGCTGGAATAAAATGTATATTATTAAGGGATACAGTTCAAGGCTATATAATGTGTTAAGTAGCACAAGTTATAAGTTGTATAAATTAGCTTACATAGGATATTACTAGATGACAAGTCTTGTTATGTAAAGCTATTTTTAATATAGGAGTTATCATGTGGGTATGTACCTGACACATCTCTTTCCCCTCCCATCCGTTTTCTTTTGGTAACAAAGCAGATATTAAAACGCTGATCTTGGCGCATAGGTATATGCCTTTTGGGGTTAGATTTTTAAAAGACAACCGAGTATTAGACTGTATTAACTAATTATGGCCTTTGCTAAGGAAGAAAAGGCAAGCATTAGTCCCCATTGGCCTATTTGAAAGCAAGAAGGAAAACAGCATAGAACTTTATTCAAAACGGCCTTTTAAACGTGAGGCCAGAAATCCCAGATAGTTGAAGGCCAGATAATAGTGACTTTCCCAAACTGCAAATTCAGATCTAAGCATGAAAGTTTACACCGCCAAAAGCAAGGAAGTGGGAAACAGAAAGGAAAAGAAGACTGAGATCTAGGGGAGCCAGAGAAATAGTGAACCTTGATTCCATAGTATATTTCTGTTATGATTATCTACTGCTTTGCAAATCACCCAAAACTTAGTGGCTTAAGACAATTTATTATCTCATATGGTCTGTGGGTTTAGCTGGAGTGTCTTGCTTCAGGGTTTTCCTCCAGTTAGAGTCAGACGGCAGCTCCGGCTGAAGTCATCTGGAGGTCTGACTGGGTTACAGGTGCAATATGGTTTCTTCATTCACATTTCTGATGCTTCAAATGGGATCGCTAGAAGAGATGGGGCTCTCTCTCTTGCTTTCTCTCTCGATGCACTCTCCATGTGGCTAGCTTATACTTCCTCATAGCATGGCAGTTTCAAGGTATCTGGACTTTTTACATGGCGGCCTTAAATGACACTTTAGACCAGCTAGATTTAATCAATATTTTTAGAGCATTTCACCCCAAATAACAGAATATACATTCTTCTCAAGTGCACATGGAACATTTTCCAAGATAGACCACATATTAGGCCACAAAACAAGTCTCAATAAATTTAAGAAGATTGAAATCTTATGAAGCGTCTTCTCTGACCACAATGTTATGAAATTAGAAATCAATTATAAGAAGAAACCTGGAAAGCACACAAATACATGGAGGCTGAATAACATGCTACTAAATAGCGAGTGGGTCAAAAATGAGATCAAGGAAGAAAACAAAAGTTATCTCGAGACAAACGAAAATAAAAATATAACAATCCAAAATCTATGGGATGCAGCGAAAGCAGTCCTAAGAGGGAAATTCATAGCAATGCAGGCCTCTCTAAAGAAACAAGAACAATCTCAAATCAACAGACTATCTTTACAGTTAAGGAAACTGGAAAAAGAACAGCAAAACAAGCCCAAAGGGAGTACAAGGAAGGAAATAATAAAGAGCAGAGCAGAAATAAATGAAATAGAGACCAAAAAGAAATACAAAATATCAATGAAACCAAGAGCTGGTTTTTGAAAAGGTAAACAAAATTGACAAACCCTTAGCCAGACTCCCCAAGAAAAAGAGAGAGAGGACCCAAATTAATAAAGTCTGAAAGGAAAAAGAAGTGACAACAGATACCACAAAAATACAGAAAATTGTAAGAAAATACTACGAGCAATTATACGCCAACAAATTCAATAATCTGGAAGAAATAGGTTAATTTTTAGAAGTGTACAATCTACCAAGTCTGAACCAAGAAGAAACAGAAACTCTGAACAGACTGATTACTACCAAAGAAATTGAATCAGTAATCAACAAGCTTCAAACAAACAAAAGTCCTGGACCAGATGGATTCACAGGCAAATTTTACAAAACATTCAAAAAAGAATTAATACCCATTCCCCTCAAACTATTTCAAAAAATACAGACGGAGGGAAGGCTCCCAAGCACATTTTATGAGGCCACTATTACTCTGATCCCAAAATCAGACAAGGATATTATGAAAAAAGGAAACTACAGGCCAATATCCCTAATGAACATAGATGCAAAAAATCCTCAACAAGATACTAGCAAACTGAATTCAGCATCACATTAAAAAGATCATACACCACAATCAAGTGGGATTCATTCCTGGTATGCAAGGTTGGTTCAGTATCCACAAATCAATTAACATAATACATCACATTAACAAAATGAAAAATAAAAATCGTATGATCATATCAATAGATGCAGAAAAAGCATTTAACAAAATCCAGCAGTCATGTATGATAAAAACTCTTAGCAAAGTGGGAATACTGGGATCATATCTCAACATAATAAAGTCTATATATGATGAGCCCACAGCAAACATCATACTCAATGAGGAAAAGCAAAAAGCTTTCCCTTTAAGATGAGGAACAAGACAAGGCTGCCCACTTCTATTCAACATAGTTCTGGAAGTTCTAGCCACAGCAATCGGACAAGAAAATGAAATAAAAGGCATCCAAATTGGAAAGAAGGAAGTAAAATTGTCATTATATGCAGATTACATGATACTATATAGAAAGAATCCCAAAGACTCCACCAAACAACTGTTAGAACTGATAAATGAATTTGGTAAGGTAGCAGGATACAAAATTAATATTCAGAAATCAGTTGCATTTGTATACACCAATAATAAACTATCAGAAGAAGAAATCAGGAAATCAATCCCTTTCACAATTGCTTCAAAAACAATAAAATATCTAAAAATAAATTTAACCAAAGAAAAGACCTGTACTCAGAAAATTATAAGACACTGAAAAGAGAAATCAAAGGTTACAAATAAATGGAAATACATATCATGTTCATGGATAGGAAGAATTAATATAGTTAAAATGTCAATACTACCTAAGGCACTATATAGATTCAATGTAATTCCTATCAAACTATCAAGGACATTTTTCTCAGAAATAGAACATATAATCCTAAAATTTATATAGAACCATAAAACACCCCGAATAGCTACAGCAATCCTGAGAAATAAGAACAAAGTGGGAGGTATCATGCTACCCAACATCAAATCATACTAAAAAGCTACAGTAATCAAAACAGTATAGTACTGGCATAAAAACAGACACACAGACCAATGAAACAGAATAGAGTCCAGAAATAAACCCATCCATATATGGTCATTTAATCTATGACAATGGAAGCAATAATTTACATTGGAGTCAAAGATAGTATATTTAATAAATGGTGCCGGGAAAATTGGACTGACACCTGCAAAAAAATGAGAATGGACCACCTACTTACACCATATACAAGAACAAATTCAAAATGGATTAAAGACTTAAATGTAAGACCTGAAACCATAAAACTCCTAGAAGAAAACATAGGGAGTAAATTTGCAGACATCACCCTCAGTAATATTTTTACTGAGATATCCCCTTGGGCAAGGGAAATAAAAGAAAAAATAAACATATGGAATTACATTAAACTTAATAGTTTTTTCACAGCAAAGGAAATCATCAATAAAACAAAAGGCAGCCTACTGAATGGGAGAAGATACTTCCCAATGATATATCTGATAAGGGGTTAATATCCAAAATGTATAAAACACTCATCCAACTCAATACCAAGAAAACAAACAACCCAATCAAAAAATGGGCAGAGGATATGAAGAGGCATTTCTCTAAAGAGGACATACAGATGGCCAACAGGCATATGAAAAAATGTTCAACCTCACTAGTCATTAGGGAAATGCAAAGAAAAACCACAATGAGATACCACCTCACTCCGGTCAGAATTTAAATCATCAGTAAATCAACAAAAAAGTGCTGGCGAGGTTGTGGAGAAAAGGGAACCCTGGTGCACTGTTGGTGGGACGCAGATTGGTGCAGCCATTATGGAAATCAGTATGGAGGTATCTCAAAAAGCTGGAAATGGAACTACTATATGACCCAGCAATTCCACTTTTGGGTATCTATCCAGAGAAACCCAAGACGCTAATTCCAAAAAAATATATGCACCCCTGTTTACTGCAGCGCTATTTAGAATAGCCAAGACTTGGAAACAACTGAAATGCCCATCGGTAGACGACAGGATTAAGAAACTGTGGTACATTTATACAATGGAGTATTACTCCTCTATAAAGAAGAATGAAATCATACCAGTTGCAACAATATGGATGGACCTAGAGACTGTTATGTTAAGTGAAATAAGTCAGTTGGAGCAAGACAAATACCATATGATCTCACTTATATGTGGAATCTAAAAACTGAATGAATGAGCAAAGTAAACAGAAATAGTCTCAGGGATATAGAGGAAAAATTGATGGTTGCTAGTTGGGAGGGGGTTGGGGATGAGGGAGAAGGAGAAGGGATTAGACAGCATAAATTGGTAACTACAATATTGCCACAGGGATATGAAAAACAGTTTGGGGAATATCATTAAAAATGTTGTAAATATTTTGTAGGATATCAGATGGTCACATGTATTGTTAGGGAGACCACTTCATGGATGGGGTAGAGGCTTGATCACTGCACTATACGCCTGAAGCTGATGTTGTATAATACTGTATGTCAACTATAATTGAATATATATATATATATATATATATATATATATATAGAGAGAGAGAGAGAGAGAGAGAGAGAGAGAGAGAGTCATGGGATGTGGAGTATAGTGTGGGAGTGGAGTCAAGGGAATTGTAATAGATATATATGATATGGGGCAGGGGAGTGGGATGGTGGATTGGGGGAAGGGGTTTGTCACTTTGAGAGGTACAAACTATTGCACTGTGTTGTACAGCTGAAACTAATTTTAAAAGAATGTTTATTTCACAATAA